TCAAGTTCCAACGTATTGGACCAGCCTTCTGCAGGCTGGTATATACCTTTGTGTATACCGCCGCAAGTTGAGGCTACTGGTGTCTTAATTGGAAGTTTTAAGATAGGGCCCTTGAGATAGGGCCTTCGAGTTTCGTGTGCCACCCCAGGACCAGCAGTGGTCAGACTGCCGGTCTGAGAAATCGTCTGAAAAGTGCTGCATTCTCACGGTCACCAAGAGGTTGTCTGAGGTACTGACAATTAGCAGTCCAAGTTGTGACTGGATCCCTGGCCCCAATCTTTCTGTCCTCTCACAGGAGAGATGTTGTGACACCATGTATCTTCAAGCTACATTCTATGATGTCATACTCACACCACGACTTTTCTGACGACCAGACACCCGAACATCTTTTTTGTCTACGCAGATTCGAGGTGAACTCTCAAATTTAGATGAAGCACTCAGTTTGAAGAAATTATTTGTTGTGTATGGAATTGGTTCTACTTTACAGTATCGGTCTTGGCCCCATCATTCTCTTGCAAGGCATCAGTCCTGCATCAGGGGTATCCCAATCCATTTCGGAAAATCACGATTGAGCTTGTCCAAAAATATCGGAGGCTTGGGGCGACCGGATCAAAATGGCTGGCGGCACCAGAAAATACAAAACAGAAACACCGTGCTGGCTTTTCGGCATAGCTTGGCACGCGAGGGGAATCCTCCTGGTACAAAAGAGGCCCGGATGTACTGGTGGTCTGAAGCGTCAAGGGACCCTGGCCTCTTCTTCCCAATGTGGATTTTTGCCCGGCCCTAAGAATTCTGAAGTGTCGCTGCACATGAAGCCACTCAAGGATTTCTTGCCCAACACCGTTCCACAGTGCCCTTGAGTTTCGCTAATAATAGTCTGGCCGTGATTAGGTTTCGGGTTTGGCAAAGGGGCGGGAAAAGCTCAAGGGCGGCTCAAGTGCGGCCCAGGCAAACCTACCTGTTTTTCAAGTCACCGCTCTGGGCACACTTGTGCAATCGAGTTTCAAGTGAAGTGAAGCGGTGTGGAACGAGGCCCATACTCACATCCATACTTTTTCTGACGACCACATTCATTTCACGAAGTCTTTGTCTGCATGTGGTCTTAGTTCTCCTTAGACTATTGGTTTTGGCCCCATCAGTCTCTTGCAGAGCATCAGTCTGGAACCAGGGGTATTCCACTCCACTCCAGTTTTCTTTTTTAACGCGCCAAAGGACCCCGGCCTCTTCTTCCCAATTTGGACTTTTGCGTGGTCCTAAGAAATCTGAACCGTCATGGTGCATGATTTGCTTGGCGCCACCAAGCCTTTCCACGGACCCATGATGACCGGAAGAGGTTTTTCCAATGACTGGGCCGACCATTGGCGGTTTAATTTCCGTGTCCGTTCGTATCATGTGTTGTCAGCTGAACTGTTTCTTTTCCAGATGAGACACCACCATCGCCATGTGAACTGGCCTGCCCTTTTGCAGAGTGATTACACCTGTGCCTGGGAGGTCATACTCAGACTAGGAAGGCCTTTCTTGGACATATCTGACCATCATCTCAGCCAGATTCAGTTGAAAAAGGCCGAATGTGAGTATGCCCTAAGTCCTTAGCCAACTGCACTTGCAGGCAACTGGAAGCCAGTTGGGGAGACAAGTTCAATAACCGAACACTGAACACAAGAGTACTGACAATAACATCAGGTGATTTTGCCAGACCATAGGCTTTGTCAGGGATTATGACAAGGAGAAGCCACGTCAAGGAAAAATTTGAAGTCCTGCCTCATTTTCAGGTATAGTGGACAGCAAGGACACAATCTCCTCATTCTTCTCTGACAAAAAGAAAAGGATCCCTCACAGACTTTCTTGTCAATCTTCCATTGATGATGGTTGTGCCTGACCAATTCTATACATTGTCACAAGTTATGTGAGGGGCAGTCAGGTACCTACTATCTTCACAAAGAGTCAAAACGTTTTCTTCCCCCCTTCAATTTGTTTTTCCCTTCTTTTTCCCCAAAAGAGGCTCTTGCACTCATGGGTGCTTCCCTGTGTGCGTAACCATTATCTTCTCCCAAATAGTATCATGATTACAAGATGGACTGTTGCAGTGACACTAGCAAAAGAAAATAAAGAACTAACCCTCCTTTCTTTGAATTGCTTCTATTTTGCACTCCAAAGCATCGACTCAGGGAAGTGACTTCTTTTTCAGTATCTCCCTCCTCAACTCCCCTTTGCGACCACCCTGCGCCCCCACTCACCCCCCCCAATGCGATCTACCTATCAAGGCAATCTACAGACCCCACCTACCTACCTCATCTACCTAACCTATCTACCTGCTATGATCCTGTTCAATTCATGTTGCCGGACTCAATTTCGAGACAATGCCATCCTGTGACGATCTATCCTCTGATGGGCGCGACTTTCTGCATGGCTGAACCTCGGGGCGGTCGGATGGGCCTAAGGGCTAATTGCATGAATGCCCCCATTCCTTTTTCCTCGGTTTCGCGAGAATTTGGTTCCCCAGCTGATTGTGGTCAGGAAGCGCCTTAGCAAGCGCAGCAATAACGGTTGACGCGGACTTTTCTTTTTCTTTTAGGAAATTCGGGCAGGGTTTTTTGGCGCGATCATCATACGGGCAAATCTTTTGAATTTTTGAACTTTGTGGAGAGAGTGCGGGGAACCGTGCATGTATTTGGAACTTCTTTTTTTTTGCAATTAGAACCCTAATTAAACTAGGATTTTGGGAACGCTGTACTTTTGGTTGTAACTACACAATGCTCCTTACTCGTGCGCACCTTGCTGCGCTCTGTCATGCACTCTGTTCCCGCCGTGTTTTAAGTCTAATCGCAACTGTAATTTCCTCTCGTCCCTCTCTTGGCGAGTGCGGGTGTAAATGTAATCTTCTCCTTCTCGACTTCTCTTTGCGCCGAAACATGCGGTCCCTTTCCCTTCGTCTCATTGGCCAGAGCGGTGCATGACTGGATTGATGAGTGGAGAGTGGCTACGTCCCCCACGCCGCGGCCCAGGCATGCCGACCGTAGGCACCTTCTTCCTTCCTCTCCCCCTGCCTTAGCGTAATCCTGGCTATTTCGAGCAGATGCTAATTGATATAAATTTCGAAAGCGCGACCAAATCGCTCTCTAATCTAAACTTGTGGAGTTAGCACGGTCGATAGGATCGGCTAACGAGTGTGGGCATGTATGAAGGTGAGTTCGGGGTCGGGTGATCCGACGAGCTGGTGGTGAGTATGCGGGGTTGACGTGTGGCCGGTAAGGACTGCGGGGCACAAGCGAACTCGACGTGCGTACTCGGGCTAAGCGGGATGACAACTTTGGGTTGTTGGTAGGTGCGAGGCAACAGACTGCCTGCATCGGAGTGAGGAGGAGGGTGGTGAAAGTGGTGAGAGTGCACGGGGCGCTGGGCTGTATGTGGTCTTCTCTCCTTGCTTTCTCAAAATTTTGGTTTCGGCTTCCACCATTCCTTTTTGCCTTTGTAATTTTGGATTTTTTGTACGATTGTATGACTTACTCCCTTCTTCGGAGTTCTCTTGTACTTCCTTCTTTCATGGATGATGTCCCGAGTGAGGATTGAGGTTGGATCGTCCCATTTCTGCATGCATAGTCCCCGTTTATGTTTGGAGATGGAATGCTTGGGGAACACGGGTGCACACCTAGCTTTAGTCCATGGAATTGAAGGGAAATAAAGAAGTTGGTCGCCTCGAGTGGCGATATGAATAGATCTTGGGCCATGTGTATATGTTACAGTCGGCCAATAAACCGGCCTGACCCGTGTACCCGAGGCACCTACGTTCGCGCCGTGTGATTGGTATACTTCTGTGTGGGTAGGAAAATGATTGCATTTAGGTGAATTCGTAGCTTGGAATTTAGTATGCCTTTCTGAGTAACAGATCATGATTGCTTGAGGGACCGCGAGTACCTGGAATGTTGAGGAAGGGAATGTTTCTCTCGTCAATTACGATCGGGACTCCTTGGCTTCCTGCAGCAGGCGGGAGATGAGTGTGTATGCAAATGAGATATACAACAAACTATAGGCCGCAGTGCCCGGATCCAACAATATCCCAACACACACACGTTTTAGGTGTTCATTGAGCCCGGGTTCGTCGTCATTCCCCCTTGTCACCACTGAACCACATATGGACTCAAACCCAAAACCCAGCCGTCCTGAGTACCCGGCCATGGGAGCCGCGAGCTGAAAAAGTCTCCTTCCTCTCCCAACCTCTTTGCATTTTCGTCCTTGGAACTTTGACACAGGAGATCCTAGTTCCGACCTGGGACTCCACCCCACTTTCCTAAAATCCTTGGCACACCCCCTTTTTTGCACTTTCGGGCCCGCTCCCACTCCGATCAGGAAGTTGCACTGGCGTGAGATTGGGCGTCACAATCTGTCACAACTCAAGATGAGGAATGAGACAAGGGGATAGAATCATAGAAGAATAAGGAAAAGAGGAAGAACACAAGGTTGAACCAATGTCATCTCCCTCAATTTACCTCCATCATCATCGTTTACATAAGCTCCTCCTCTTTGTTACTCGTTAAAATAACAGTAAATGAACTAATTGTAAGGAGACTTTCACTCATGCATCATCCATGTCCAAATGTGCATGCAGATAAGGAGGTCACATCAAATACATGAAAATCAAGTTGTTTGGGGTTCAAGGGAACGAAGGTGGAGAAGAAGGCGGCGTACAACAAGAATTTGTGCGCGCTTCTTGATGAGTACACTCAGGTGTTCATTTGCCATGCCGACAATGTCGGGTCTACTCAGATGCAGAACATTCATCGGGGTTTGTGCTTGGACTCCGTGGTTTTTATGGGGAAAAACACCATGATAAAGCGTTCGATCAAGATGCACGCAGAAAGGACGGGAAATAAGGACATGCTCGCGCTCCTCGATCTCCTCTTGGGCAATGTGGGGTTTATCTTTACAAAAGGCGATAAGAAGGAAGTAAGGGAGGAGGTTGCCAAGTACAAGGTTAGTGCTCCCGCCCGTGTCGGGCTTGTTGCACCCATCGATGTTGTGCTGCCCCCCAGGCAACACGGGGTTGGATCCTTCTTAGACTTCCTTTTTCCAGGTGTTGAATATCCCCACGAAGATTAACAAGTGTATAGTCGAAATTATTGCGCCTGTGGAGTTGATCAAGACGGGGCAGAAGATGGGGTCATCTGAAGCAGCTCTTTTGGCAAAATTGAATATCCGTCCTTTTTCGTACGGGCTTATCATTCAGAGCGTCTACGAGAGCAGGGCGGTCTTTGGCCCCGAAGTTCTTGATCTCACTGATGACGACCTGATAAAGAAGGTTATGCAGGCGATCCATACAGTTGCTGCGTTCTCCCTGGCAACGGGATATCCGACGCTCGCCTCACTTCCTCACTCCATCGTTAATGCGTACAGGAACGTGTTGGCCATTGCTCTGACAAACTATTCTTTCCCTCAGGCGAAGTCTATCAAGGAGTACCTCAAGGATCTGTCCAAGTTCGTTGCTGCTGCTGGTCCTGCTGTGCCTGTAGCCACGGAGAAGAAGGAAAAAGTTGTTGCTGCGCCTAAGGAGGAGGAGAACAAGGAAGATTCTAGAGGAAGAGGAAGACGGAGGATTTGGCGGCATGTTCGACGATTTTGAGAGAGAGAGAGAGAGAGAGAGAGAGAGAGAGGGTATTGTCGATGATTGAGTGTTTGCCTATTGGTCGGGTTTCATGCGGCTCCTTACAAAGTGTGGAGAGGGCGAGAGAGGGGGGGTGGCGGCGTGTTGGGTATTGACAATCGGTTTTCCCCGCCAGGTGGCATTGATTGACTTCTTTGTGCATGTGGCTGTCATGATTACAATTTGAAGTTTGATTTCTAAATAGAGATGACGAAAGGTCGTGGGGCACTGTTGTTGATTATTCTGGGCTGATTTCCCTTGTGTTATGCACGCGTGTTGTAAATGCATACATTGCACTTGGCGCCCTATTCGTCTCTACTCGTATCAGTCCCAACTCCCTGGTGTTTTTCGTAAGCAAACCAGTTTTCGAAAAAGGCCTCATCAAATGTGCAAAAGGAGAACGAATCTTTCGTCAAAACATGGAAACATGCACCGCCATAATTTTATCTTTTGTGCATTTGGAGAGTAGTGTAGCGAGGCCTATTGTCCTTTTATACTGCACCAAAAAGAAGATCGGACCCTTGTAAACCGTACAACCAGGGTAAACCCTAAACCCTTGCGTAGATACGACAAATAACGTTATCGTGACACGATTTTAAAGATTTGGGAACGGAAGAAACCTAAAAAAGCAACGAACCGCAGTTTTATGGAAATGATAAAAGAAAGAAAAAAATCGCCACACAATTCTCAAGCAATTACAAATTACAACAATCACTGGATACCGTGCGCACGCCTATCCACTCGTGACATGGAGACGAAGATGACGCAACTATGATGGGTGAGCCACACACAATGTCAAGTTTCTTCCTCAACAACCAGAACACGAGTATTCACTCAAAATTCATGTTCGGGTTGGAGGCGCCCATGTACAGCACAAGAACTGTGATATGGAGAAACCCCAGACCACCATAGCACATACTAGCCACACAAAGTGTCCCCCTCCCAACACAGGATCTCGCCCTAAACATCTTTTTTTTTTTTCTTTTTTTTTTAAAAAAGCTTCAATCTATTGGTGGGGAGCAGCACCTGCTGGAAGACGGTTTCAGCGTCCCTTATACATCTTTTTTTGGGAAAAGTTTGAGAAGATGAGAACCTGAATAAGTAGGAAGTTAAAACCTGAGCATTGGTTATGACCAATCTCTCTAGATTCCCAAATTTTACTTCTAATTCCCTTGTCATACTGAAACAACCCATTCTATAGCTCTGCTACCCTTCCAGTCCATCCACTACAAATTTTGTAATCAGCCTCTTCAGCCTTGTATGGCCGCCAGAACAGACAATATTATCTAGCTGGTTACAACATACCAATACCATTATCCTCCTCATTCGCAGCCAAACCAACTCATAGGGACCAGGGATAATGAGGAAGGGGGGAAGGGATCTGGGAACTTTGATAGAGGGCGAAGGGTACTGTTGCGTCCACATTTGTCCAATCATGGAATGTCAGTCGGTAGTCCCTTTGAATTTCTTCGCTATGCTCTTCTCTGTTCTCTCTCCTAACCCCACTCTCTTTGATATGTCCAATCTTACCTCCTTGAGGCCCCCCTAGCCAAGCGTCACTGAATAGTTGAATATGTTGTTGAATTTCTTTTTTATTTGACAGGAATTGAATTTTTTCTTTTACTTTGTCCCATTGAGTTGTTATAACAGTTTGCACCTGCAGTCCGATTGCCTCAGTAAAATTTGGACCATCCAGCTTAGCTCCCTCCATTTCAAAAGTACAGCGACGTTGCCAGAGGGCCCAGAGAATGACTCTTCTCCTGGTTATAAATAAGTTTTGAAAGAAGTCATATAGTTGATCCGAAAACCATGTCTCGCATAACAGAGCTCACCAATCCCAAGGCCAAGTTAGAGGGGTATTGAAGAAACTCCAAATCCTATCCCACCATCGCCATAACTAGACTGCACCTGGACATTGAAGAAAGGTATGCTCGATGGTTTCAGAATGGTCCTAGATGGGAACGCAGAGGAGCATACCGTGCACCAAGGTAGAGCAATGCCTTTCTCCTTCAACGAGGTCCTGTCTATTAGCCAATCATTCGTGAGAAGGCATCTACGGGTGATTTGCCACTTTAACGGGACAGTTTTTGTCGGCTTAATCTTAATAGTTTTGAACCACTTGACATGTCTCCGATCTTCCTTACTTACATTTAGATGTTTCATCCATCTAGTTTCGACTCGATCTTTCAGATCCAATCTATGCCTCAACATACGGTAAGTTGATCTGACCGTTAGAGAGTGGATATTGCGACTGCACTTTCTGTGTTTCCCTATAGGGATCGTCCATGACAAATAAATGGGATCTAGAGCCAATTTGTTAATTGTGGATGATGGTTTGAAAACAATCCAGTGGTCTTTGTATTTCAAAACTCTAATCTTGAATACCTGGTCAACATTGAACCATTTGGTTTCCTTGGTTTGACTTTCAGTCAGCCGGTTTTTCTGATCAATTGAGAATAAGGAGAGTAAAATTGATCCTTGGTCATTCACTACTACCACATTTCCTATTTGTTGGGGGCTTCCTTGGATGCCCACCCGATCACTTTCTTTGAGTTGGGGTCCTTTTTCTGAGGATCCTTATCCATTCTATCGGAATGGCTTTAGTGATTGTATCTAGTGCTCTTCTTGTTCTCCTGCAGTAACGCAAGATAGGCAAGAGGTCGGAGAGAGAGTACCAGTTCTGAGTTCTTGGGTTCCACATGTCCTCAATCCTTAGGATCTCATTTTAACCCAGCCCCTCCAGGGAGAATCCATACAGTGAAACATCCTTCCTTGTGAGTCAATCAAACCATCTGTTATTGAAAAGGGGTTGTTGACATACCTCTTCCCATCATTTTCGGGGGGGGTTATCTAATAAGGGTAGTTTGCGCCAAGCCTTGAGGAGATCAGGCCGAAAAGAATCATTTTTAATGTCAATTTTTGTGGTCTGACGACGTGGCTTCGCTATCTGGCTTGAGGGTTGAGCTTTACCTCTTGGAATGGACCAGTAACGATTTTCTAGCCATATCAACGGATCTGTCCCCTTTGGAACTTCAGGAGCTAGTCTCGAGATCTGTTCTTTCAGCTAGCGCTAACCAAGGAGTCTCTGGGTCGAAAAGTAGTCGTTTGACCCATTGGATTGATAGTGTCATGGCTTGGTGGAAGGATCTAAGATTCCTAATCCTCCTTTTGCATTAGGCCGAATAACTCCTTGCCAGACCACTCTACTTATGACATTTTTTAAGTCATGATTACCTCTCCATAGATAGGTTGTTATTTGTCTTTGTAGAGGTTTATGTTTTGATTTGTCCAGTGCCCATATTGCAAACTTGTACCAGAGTGAGGCTAGAATAACATTATTTATGACCAGGGAACGTCCTATAATAGAAGTCTGTTTATTCTTCCACAGTTCTAATTTGGCCAAAGCTAGTTTAGATATTCATTCATTGTTCCCTGTTGGTTTACCTTTTGCTGAGAGTGAGATCCCCCACACCCTAATTGGGGTCGTTGTTGTCAACCAACTGATATTTGGATATTCTGGAGGTCTCACCCCCTGATGGTGTATCCACCACCCTTGAGTTTTTTTACCCCAATTAATCTTCATATCAGAGAGGGAGCATAATTTATCCATCAGTCTCTTAATCGCTATCAAATTTTTGTGTGAGGCTTCCACCATCAAGGATAGGTCGTCTGTGAATAGGTAACAGACAGGTATGACTTCTTCTGGAATGTAGCTAACTTAGATACGTTTAATGTCTCTGTTGCATCTGAAATTAGTCGCTAAGGCTTCCATCATGATGACAAAAAGAAAGGGGGCAATTGGATCTCCTTGTCTCACCGAACGTTCCAACTCGATAGGTGGAGTCAGGTTACCATTTATCATAACCCTAGTTATAGCATTAAAATGTAGGATCTCAATCCATTTTCTGAAGCAAGGACCAAAGTTAAACTTTTCTAAACATTTATCTAAAAAAGTTTAACTAATTCATTCACTAGTAAAATATTGTCTTGAATGTTCCTTCCTTCAATGAAGCCCGTTTGAGTAGGATTAATGATGTCAATAATGACTTTTAATACCTGGTTTGCGAGTGCTTTCGCTGCCAGTTTATAAACTACTGTGAGAAGAATAATCGGTCTGTAATTACGAATGTTTGCTTTGTCTCTTTTCTTGTATAGTAGGGTCAGTACCCCTTGTCCAACTATTTCCCCTATTGTACCGGAGGCCCAAACTACGTGATAAAATTTCATTAGATCATGAGCTAGGTAATCCCACATGGCTTCCCAAAATTCTTTTGGGAGACTGTCAATCCTTTGAGTTTTTTCCTTCTCCATCATCATAAGGGCATACAAAATTTTTTCCTTTGTGAGTGGACTTTCAAACATCGTTTTCTGTTGGTCTGTTAATGTTTTCGTTAGTGGTTCAAGAAATTCTTCCATCTCTTTCACCCTTTGTTCCCTCAATTGTTGTTTACATTCTAATGTAAGGAGGGTAATGTAAAGAGGGTTTTATAGGAGTCTTTTGCTATCTTTGTACATGCCGCTGTAGATGTGATTAGCGAGTGTAGGTTTTCTTGGGGGTCCGTGAAAGCTTCAATGATGGTTCGACCAATTCTGGTTTTTGTTGTGGCAGAAAATCTCGCATCCAACCTTGACGTTGATTTATCTGTGTGTTTATCTGGTTGACGTATCATGTTTGTAAGCGTTGACTGCGTTTGTGGCGTCTTGAGCACGGGACCTGTTTTTGTACACACGTAAAGTCTGCTTACGACCATATGTGTGTGAGTGTGTCCGCCAACAAGCTATCCTGAAGGTTCTGGGCAGCAGCGGGGAATGCCTTGGGAGACAAAACTTCCGAATTCATTTTTTGCAAGATTCATTCACGTGGTGCCGGTTCTTAAAATCATGCAATGCGCTACCGTGAAGAAGCGTCAAGGAAGAAGGCGACCATAACTAGGGAACAGGGCGACTGTATCACGTTTGTGTTGTTGTTGATTTGCTCCTTTCTGCTTGAGAATGCTTGAGAATAGCACCGCTGTTGCAGGGTGTTTGTGGTAGGAGTTCTCAACGAGGCGGAAAATGAGAAAAAGAGGCG